GTAAAGTGACCAGGTTACAAATGAGTCTCTAAAAGAACACAGTGAAGCTTGCATCCATAAATGGGTGGAAGGCGGGCTTGCACAGGCTCCCCTCCTCTGGGGTAACTGCTGTGATCTAGTGTCGCACATATTCCGCCTCCCTCTTCTGACAGCTCAACCTTGGGGGGCAGGGGGCTCAATGAATGCCACATGTTGGATCCTAAAATGGGACAGTTGGCGTCACCCTGTATGTCTATGTGTGGGAGGGGGGACTTGACTATTTCCTTTCTTCCAGATCTAGTTGCAAACCGATGGGAGTTATAGCCAAGTGTAACTTGCAGACCCATTCCCAGTATTGAAAAGTGTATGCTGATGGTGAGGGGTGGGGGTGAGGGCAACATCAGTTGGACCTGGTCCCTAGCAAGGATGCCCTGGGTTGGGAGACAGCTCCTTGGTTTTCTCCCTCGCTTGGATATCCAGCGCCGGGACTGTGAGTTCTGGGGACCTGGAAGAGGTAGGCATATGCCTGCTGCATGAAGCAACCATGACCCATCCCTTTGGCATCAGGCTGTGCCAGGCACCAGCTAGTAGTCGCCACCAGGCCCTGGCTCTCACTAGATTACAACCTAAGTCACACAATAGTGACACAGATCCCAAAGGCGGGTAGTTAACAAATACATCCACTTGTCTGCCAATCACAAGGGTCCCATTGAGTGAGGCAGTGACACACAGGGCCCCCTTCAAAGAGCTTCCAGTCTGGTGAGTTAATGAGACCTAGGGACTGCTTGGGAGGTGATGTTCAGGAGAGGAAGCGGCCAGCCTGGGCATCACCAAAAAGACTTGAAAAGAGTGCCTTTGGGCATGTGGCAGAGCCGCCTCTGTTGGCGGTGCTGGCACTGGACCGGCCCGGCGCGCAGGCGGCTTTCCTGCCAGCTCTCCGCTGGAGGAGCCGATACAAAGGACCAGAGGCAGTGTGGCTTTGCGCCGCGTGGGGAGAAGGCCCAGCCCGGGGGTGGGGACCGCGGTGCTGGACGCGGGCTGGCCCTCTCCCTTGGTGGCCCAGGCGTGTCACCGGTCTTCACCTTGTCGGGCCTCATGGTCCCCAGCTAAAGACCCTCTGGGCTTGAGAGTTTTTTGGGGGGGGACAGACCGCAACCCGAGTCCCACTAGCTGCAAGTCCCTGGTGCATGTAGCGTGTGTGTGGCACAGGTTTGGGATGCACGCCCGTTCCCCAGAGAGCGCCGGCCAGCCCGTCCCCCAGTCACTTGGGACGGACGGGGACCTCCAGGGTGGCTTCTGAGGGTTAGCAGGCACCGGGTCCGAGCGGGCCGGCGGGGGCTCGGGCCGAGGAGGACAGGCGGGCGCGGCTGGGGCGGGGTGCCGCCTAGCAGATAAGAGCTTGCTCTGGGCGCGAGGGCGGGAGCCAGGGAGGGTGGTGCGGGAGACCAAAGAGGAGACAAAAGGACGGGGTAGGGGGCGGGGCCTGAACCGCGGGCTAGGGGCGGGGCGTGGGGGAACGCCTGGGGGGGAGGGGTGTGTGCTGGGGAGCCTAGTGGGCGGGGCTTCGGGCGGGACGTGAAGGGACAACCCAAGGAGGGAGCGCGGAGTCGGGAGGGGGGCTTGAAGGGGGCCCAGCGAGCAGGCCACTGAGGGGCTGGGGACCACGGGAGGGACAGCCACACAGGGAGGGGGAGTCCTGGGGACGGCGAGGCAGAGAACCGGGTCTGCAGCGGGGTGGGCGGGGAAGGGGGAGGCGACCCCAAAGCGCAGCGGACCTGCGGGAGGAGGCGGATGGGCGTGCGTGCGTGCGTGCAGCGCCTCAGGGCAGAGACTGGACACAGCCGACCAGGATGACCCAAAGACCGTGGTGGGGGCCACTCAGACGGGACGGGCGACTGAGGCAGGGCGAGGACGGTCCCGGGGAAAGTGAGACCTACGGGGCTGGAGTAGGGTGGCGGGGGCGGCCTTGGGCTCGGCAGGAAGGCGCCACCACCGCCCTCTGCCCGTCCCCAGCCTGCCCCGCCCCGTCCGGGGGCCCTAAGGGCAGCGGCCTGGGCCTTGGGGGAGCCGAGCCAGGGCGGTACCATTTGGAACAGAGAGGGGGGCTTGGGGGGAAGGGAGGAGCCAGGGGTCAGAGCCCTGTTGGGGCGGGGGTGCGCCACACCCTGGGAAAAAGGCTTGGGCACATCCAGAATGGACCAATCAGTGAGCAAGGCCAGGGTAGCGTCAAGGGGCAGCTTCGGCCAATGGGAAGGGAGAACACTTCGGAGGTTCGGAGGAAGAAAAGGAAAAAAAAAAAAAGCCTCAGGAAACAACAATCGAAGACGTTTAGGGGCTTGGATGGCTGGGAGTGGGCTTCGTTGCTAACACGTTCCGGCGCCTGCCCTCTCTTTGGAAGGCTGGGCTTGCTCACATCACCCCCCGGGGCAGCGGGACACGCCTGGAGCTGAAGAGGGTCCTGGCAAAATAGACAGGGATTGGCCTTTCCCCGGGTGGGGGACACTTGATGGGGCATCTCAATTCGGGATGTGGGTCAGACTGAGGTGGCAGCTTTGTGCTCCCAAGAGTGAGAGAGAAGGTTGTGGTCTCTTAAACGGAGGCAGGGGTGGGTGGGTGGGTGGGGGTCCCTCATCTCCGCACTATTGGCTACTGCCTTCTTAAGTGCCAACCAGCAAGTGGATAGTCTCAAGCCAATGGATAACTTAAAAGCGCCCTTTGGGCTCTGCACATCGGCCCGCGTATTTGTGGCCCTTTCTTGCTCCACAGAGGATGAACAGTGGTAGGGACCTGCTGCCACCACAGGGAACTTGGGGCCAATTTAGAGTTCTGTTCCCTCTTGGGCCACTAATCTAATGTGTAACACTAGATAACTCACTTTGGAGTCTTTACTTATCAAATCGAGGTAACTACTGACCACTGAGCTCTGGTGGAATAGTGGTTAGATGTTGGGCTGGGAACTGTAAGGTCAGCAATTTTTAACCACCAGCCCCTCCTTGGGAGCAAGATGAGGCTTTCTGTCCCCTAAGAGTTAGTTTCAGAAACCCACAGAGTAGAACTGCCCCTATAGACTCACTATAAGTCGCTATTGACTGATGGCAGTGAATTTGGTTTGACCCACCTCTGAAGGGGCCCTGGTGGGATAGTAGTTATGGTTGGGCTGCTAACTGCAAGGTCAGCAGTTCAAAATCCCCCGACACTTCACTGGAGAAAGACTAGGATTTCTTCTCCCATGAAAAGAGTTGTCTTGGAAACCCCTCAGGGGCAGTTCTACCCTGCCCTATTTAAGGTAGTTGAGTTGGCATCGACTTGATGGCAGGGAATGAGAGTGACCTCCGAGGTCTCCAAATAGTTGACCGGGCTTGGAAGGTGGGGTGCTGGGATAAGAGGGCCATATAGGGATATGGTGGGATGCTCTGCAAAAGATAGTGGAGTGTAAAAAAAGAGAAAACCAACAAACAAAAAAAGATAGTGGAGTGTGGCTATGAGCTTTTTAGGTCTGGAAATGTCTAAATCTTTGAAACGGCGTGTCTGACATGTTGGTGCATTTTGGGATGTGGGGAGGGTGGGTGACTAGCTCCTCAGAGGGGTCTGTGACACACACAATTTATCCTGTTTTGGTTTAGAAGGGCTAGGGGATACCCCCCTCCCCCCCCCCAGTATTCCTTGAAGGTGAAGAATAGTATTGTCCCCAGGAATGGTGGTTTCCACAGCCAGTCCTTTGGACTTAGAGGGGCAAAACTGTTCCTAAATTCCTTGTTAGGAATCATGGGGGGTGGGCAGGAGGAGTGGGACACAGGAATCCTTCCCTTAAATTTGTTTCTTGGAGATGCCAGTCCCCCAGTGCTGAGAAGCCCAGGAGAGCTGCCCTAGAGCAAAAGTGAGGTGTGAACCAAGAAGCCTCTGACCCAGTGGTGAGCTGGCTGAGTTTGGAGTTAAGGGAATAGAGCTCTACTTCTGGAAAGCTCGTCTACCCTACCTGTAAATGAAGAGTGACACCTTACTACTGCCTAGTTAGGAGAAGAGGGTAAGAAAATAAGTGCCAGGCTCACCTCCCAAATCATTTTAGAAAGTGGCTAGACTTGTGGGGCTGGAAACTGGCTTGCCCTTCTGGTCCTCAGGCAGACTTAGAGCAGAGTCCAACTGCAGTTTGTGCTCCTGGGCTCAGAGGTGAGGAAGATACACAGCCTTTTGTCAGAATCTTAAAGTCATTGGTAGTTGTCTCTGGTGAATCATGTTTTCCCATCTAATGGGATGTATTCCTGATCATTCCAACCCATTGCACGTTTCTCTAGGGCACTGGAGGCTGTTAATCTTTACTGGAGCAGATTAGCCTCATCTTTCTCCCTCCAAGCGGCTGGTGGTTTGAAAGGGCAGGTTTTGAACCACAAGCTTAGCAATCCAACCTTTCCCCGGCAGTGCCACCTGGGCTCATTCTCTCCATTCTGATTGTGATACAGCGACATCAACTTTGAGAGGCAGTGCGGGTTTGGTGGTGGACACCTTGCCCTGCATGCCAGAGTCCTGAGCCCAACCAATGTACCTCAAATGCAGTCCCGACTATCTGTCAGTGAAGGCTTGCCTGTTGCTACAAGGAAAAATTTCAGTGTAGTTTCCACAGTAAGATGGATTAGGAAGAAAGGCCTGGCAGTCTAAAATACTCACATCCAATGAGTCAATTCTGACTTGGTGCCTGTACTGGACAGAGCAGAACTACCTCTGTGGATTTCTGAGACCAACTCTTTGTGGGAACAGAAGGCCTCATTCTCCTCCTGCAGAGCGGCTGGTGGGTTTGAACTACTGACCTTACAGTTAGTAGAAAACCCTATGGGTCATAGTGGTCTGACCCCATGGTGTGTGGTGCTGACAACTCACAACCTGATCCTTAGTGAGAAAGTGAGGTTTCCCTGAAAAGTGCCACTGGAAAAACACATGGTGGGTGGGTGAGGGGGTGCATGGGGTGTCACACATGTCTGATTCAAGAGAGGACCCCCCACTGGGAGAGAACACAATCACTCTAGTTCGACAGAGAGAAGCGCCTTTATTGCCAACTTAAGGTTGAACGTGAGGCAGTGTGCAGGCCCGTCTGGGATCCTGCAACCCTCACCCCCCGGAAGTAGAAAGCAGCCAGGCCTGAGAACATCACTGCTCCAGTGCCTCAGGCGAGTTCTTTTTCAGCTGTTTGCGGTGCCGTTTGGAGAGCTGCTTGGGATTCCGCTGTACCACAGACAGGTCGGACCTCGAGGCTGACCGGTAGCCGACATCCTCGGCTTTTATGGGCTTAATGATATGCCCCGGCTTGGTGACAACCTTGGGGGTGGTCAGCTTTTGGAAGGCCCTCTGGGTGTTCCAGGTAGATCCTATTGGAGTCTGGATGGTCTGTTCAAACTGGTGGTGGTGGCTGAATGGGTATGGGAGCACGTGGACCTGGAAAGGGATGGAAGGAGGAAATGACTGGGGTGTCAGGCCAGGTGGGGGGGAGCAAATAGGGCCTTGCTTCAGTAGGCACAACTTCGGCACGTAAGCCAGACTGCTCCCAGCTAACTGGAGGATCCCCAACCCACTGAGGTGCACTGGAGAGTAGGGGTTCCTCATCCCGGTGCCCTGTATTTATGAAACCATCTGGGGGCGGCGGGTGGCAAGCTACTCCTAGCTGTTCTGTCTCATGCTAGATCGTAGGTAGTACCTGGGCCTGTGGGTCCTCCTATTTGCTTCCCTTCTCTCCCTCTCTTGATACGCAGAGGTCAAGGGCTAAGGCAGGGCTGCGTAAACTCTTTCCATTGGCAAGATACCTTTTTGACTGAGACATCTGCAATATGGGTAAGCTCTGCCAGAAACACCCTGGCTTCATTACGAATTTGACTTTGAAATAGTTTTTGGTTATTCCATGGGCAGAAACCTTTTTGATGTTGTCAGAATTTTTGTGACATACTCACCGCCCCCCCCCCCCCAATTCAGTTCTAGTTTAAGGAATGTTGGTCTAAGGCAGGCCTCCTCAAACTATGGCCCGAGGGCCACACCCGCTGAGGACATTTATCTGGCCCACCGGGTGTTTTTGCCCCGTTTGTTTTTTTACTTCAAAACGAGATATTGTGCAGTGTGCATAGGAATTTGCTCATAGTTTTTTCTTTAGACTGTAGTCTGGCCCTCCAACGGGTCTCAGGGACAGTGAACTGGCCCCCTGTTTAAAAAGTTTGAGGACCCCTGGTCTAAGGGACCCAAAGGGTGACCCTGGACACCCAGGAGACAAAACTCTGTGTAGTCTACCCCAGTCACATTCCAGAGGGCAGTGCAGCTGCGCGCAGGGAGGGCAAGTGCCCGGTCCAAGTAAACCAGAGCAGTGTGGGACAGTGGAGCCAGCACCCGTTTCCCTGCTTGGTCCACACTGCCCTCGGCCAAAGTGTTACCATCGTTAGCACTTGAGCAATGGTTGGAGTGGGGAAACTGAGCAGAGAACTGGGATGTTTGATGGAACCCTTATGAAAAGCTGGGTTCTGCTGGGGGGCAGTGAAGGCCGGGACCCCGGTGGCGGGGCAAGGCCATCGTGTCAGCGCCTTACTGGACTTGTCGGCGAGAGCTTTGCATGCCGCCTAGGGTGAGATGAAAAACCACCACAAACCACCTTCTGGCCGAACGATTTACTTTGACACACACACTTGTTGCACACTAGGGCCTGGGGTCTCTAACTTATGACATAGATGGGGGGAAAAATCAAGAGATTCTTGGAACATGCCCTGCTGGGTTTGTATTGTAGACGAGACCTCGGGAGGGGACAGGGGGCTTTGTTAAGGCTCACATTCTACCCTTTCCCTGGAATCTAGGGTCAAAGCTCCCATGGTGCCTCTCTTTCCTGTACTTGCCTGCTTGCTGCCCATCTCTGGGTTGTTTGTGCTCAGTGGAGATTGTGGTGGTTACTGTTCAAATGTCTGAGGTGGCTGAGCACTGAACATAAGACCAGGCAGAGCACTGAAATACGTGTTTTCTCAACCCTCTACTAGAACTGTTAAATAGGGAGGAGACCTGGTGGTGAGGCAGGCTACACATTGGGTTGTTCATCACAAGGTTGGTGGTTCAAACCCACAAGCAGCTCCATGAGGAAAGATAAGGCTCTTTGCCCCCATCAAGATTTATAGCCTTGGAAACCCAAAAGGAGCAGTTCTACCCTCTGCAGGGGCAGTGAATTATTTAATGTGGCTCTTTTACCCAAAGTCTGTAACTCCCATCATATGACCTTTTCCATACATGGGTCTGGGAAGGAGGGAGGGGAGATACTGATAGGATTCACCTGTGAGTGATTGTGGAACAGATGGCCTGAAATGCCATCCTGCCGTGCATAAAATGAGCCCTCAAAAGAGCCAAAGGGGGGAATCTCATTACCAGCAAGAACCAGGAGTGGATCATGTCCTCTGGACCTGAGAACCCTGTGCAGTGACCCTCCTGGTCCAGAGGACAGCTATACTGCCAGAGGCAGCAGAACCAGGAGCCAGAGCATGAAACCAAGTGCTGGACTTCCCAGCCCATGGAGCAGGTTAAACCAAGTGTTTTTGTGTAGGAGGCTGGCTTGTAGAGTAGGGTGCTTCTGGGCACTTAATTGGGGGGAATTGGGCTTGCCTGACCCATGGAAATGGAATGGAGTGCCTTTGGGCTGAGGTTTACTGGAGTGGGGTGCCTCTGGGCATGTCATTCAGGGGAGCTGTGTTAGCGGATCCGGAGAGCTTGAGCCAAATACCTTCTAGATAACACTGAGGGCAGAGTGGCATTATTAGCAGACCTGACAGATTTTTTTAATAAACAATACAACCCTCAGCATTTCTCATTGGCATCACAACTTGTTAACTTCCTTAACAAGCCCTTTTAGTCATGAAGTTTTAAAGCTCTGTGTGGCCATTGCTGTGAATATTAACATGCAGAGATTAAGTAGCATATTCATTAAGACAGTACACCCTGTGCTATAGGGTTGCTCTGAATCGCTATGAAATGGGCTAGATGGCAGTGAGCTGTTGTTAGCTTGGTTTTTGATGAGAACGGATAGGGCTTTGAAACTTTGGTGAAAACCCTACTATCTTTCTCTTCCACTTTTCCATGAATTTCCTGAAGCCCCCTACAGTTTGTTTTCTTATGGAGGAAAACTGCCAACTCATTTCATGCCTACAGCGGTTAGGGACAGAACTGAAGGGGGCACATCAAGGCCCTCTAGAGCAGTGGTTCTCCACCGTCCTCATGCCACAACCCTTTTATACGGTGCCTCATGTGGTGGCGGCCCCTCAACCATACAATTATTTTCATTGCTACTTCATCACTGTCATTTTGCTACTGTGATGAATCAGGCGACCCCTGTGAAAGGGTCCTTCGACCCCCAAAGGGGTCGAAACCCACAAGTTGAGAACTGCTGCTCTAGTGCAACCTTCTCGAGTCCCCTCTACACAAGTTGCTACCCTATGGCAGTATACTGAACCCTGTCACGGGAGTCACTCAGGAGGGGCACAGTTCAACTCAAGGAAAAGCTTCAATATGCTGCTCTGAGGTAAACACCCTCAGAGCATCAGATGACTCAATGTTCAATCCCTTCACTCTCCTTTTCTTCATTTTTCTTAAGGGCAAGGTCTCGTACCTTCTAGTCCCTGGCTGGTGCCAATGGTCAGTGCACTTGGTGTCCAAACCAAAAGCCACAGGTTCCAGTCCATGCGGAGGGGACTTGGATGAAAGACTGGAGACCTGCTTTTGAAAAGCCAGCCATGGCGAACCCTGTTCAGTGCAGTCCTCCTCTGACAGGCAAGGGTCCCCAGGAGTAGAAATAGCCCAGTGTGAACTTTGGTAGCGGTTCTGGTGGCTAAGTGCAGTTATGACTCATGGTGACCCCATGTGACAGGGTTTTCTAGACTACCCACTTCATGGACTATCAGCCGGTGGGCTCAACCTGCTGCCTTTGCCAGTTAGCAGCTGGGCATTTATCCGTTTCCACCACCGGGCCTCCTTTTGAAGCCATTCTTTTGCTCCTATGCAGGTGGTCTCATGCAGCAGAATGATCTAAGGCACTTGCTTGGGGGCATCCTAGCTGCAGCAGAGTAGGAGGGACCCCCCTGAGCCTCCTGCGTTTGGGGGTGAGTGGGAGGGGAGCGGCAGTGCAGGGGCACAAGCTGCCTCCCGACAGACCCTCACCTGGTGAGCCGCGACGTGGATGTTGCGTTTCTCACTGAGAATCACGTTCGGCAACTTCTGGTCTCTTCTTGGCGGCCCCTCCGGGGCTTTTATGAAAAACCTGAAAAGCAGAGCAGCAGGCGGCCTGACAAAGAGCTCTCAGTGAAGGCCTTCATCAAAAGGGTCCTGAGGACACTTTGGGGTGAAGTGGACGCGCAGTCCCCTCCAGTACACCCCCCGCCCCCCAGGCCAGCCCCCAATTCTTCCTCCTCCTTACCGGCGGCGTTTTTTGGCACTGGGCTGTAGGCCCACGCCGCCCCACTCGCCCCAGCCGGGCAGCGTCAGGTCCACGTCCTTTGGCTTATTGGCCTCCTCAGCCTCCCTCTTCTCTCTCAAGAAGTCTGCCATGACGTCATCCCCAGCGAAAGCTTCCTTTATGGTTTGCTTTTGCTCTCTCTCCCCTTCATCTTCCTGGGAAGAAAACAAGAGCTAGGGCTGCCCAGCTTGCCTTTGGGAGCCCTGTGGTAAAAGGTGCGTGGCAGGATGGGAAGTTTGGGTCACGACACTTTAGCGCCCCCTAGGGGGAATCATGTTGAACAACCATAGTCTGATAAACCAATCAAGCTTGAATTTCCTTCTCTCTAGGGGTCAAGTGTCCGGTCATACCATAGATTTCCTCTAGGACAGCAGTTCTCAATCTGTGAGCCCCGACCCCTTGGGGGTCGAAGGACCCTTTCACAGGGGTCGCCCGATTCATAACGGTAGCAAAATGACAGTGAAGAAGTAGCAATGAAAATAATTTTATGGTTGGGGGGGCGGTCACCACCACATGAGGAACTGTATGAAAGGATCGCCGCATTAGGAAGGTTGAGAACCACTGCTCTAGGAAACGTGTGGTGGAGAATATAGTCCTAGGTTAAGATTCCTCCCAGTGCTTTGCTGCGGCCCTGTAAAAAGGTCTGCACCACCTCTTCAAATTGCACCCCAGTAGCCTCACAGATTGCATTTGAGGTGGGTTTCCTTTCCGAACTAGAGTTCTTACACTCAAGATCTGGACAGGTCCGGAAAAGGAGGGCAAGTTTGCCAAAGGGAGATCATTCTCACTACAGAGCCTTCTGGAACATGTAGTTCAGCTCAGGCTAAGCCGAATTCTCACTCACTGCCATCCAGTCAGTTTTGACTCAGCAACCCTAAGGTACTGAGTAGAACTGCCCTGCCCCTTTGTATTTCCGGGGCAGTAAATCTTTCCTAGGCAGGAAACCTCAGCTTTATGCAGTGGAGTTGCTGGTGAGTTTGAACTGCTGACCCTGTAGTTGGCAGCTCCACTGTGCCACCTGAACTCTATAAGCACTGAATGGATGGGTCAGAAGTTTTCTTGAGACCTCCCCCCACTGCCTCCCTAAAGCTAAACCTGACCTGGGTACACTTGAGGCAGTAATGGGAGTGCTAGTCAGCCCAAAGACTACATCAGCCCTGACTTGTTGGATTACTATTTCGACCTTCGTAGGTAGGAAAGTTTGCCTTTGGTTACTAAGGGCAGAGGTGAGTGGGATGACGCTTCCAAAAACTGTCCTAGGGAAAATCACATTTATTGTAGGGTCAAGTGTCCTCCCTTGTGCATTTATCACATGATGCAACGTAAAACTTTCAGCGAGTTAGCTGTGAGAGGTGGAGATGGAGGTGGTGTGTGTAGGTGGTGGAACGAGTGGCCTAGAAGCCAAAACACAGGTTTCCTGTGGCGGATGTCCTCTGAGAAACAAGTGCCAGTGCTCCTTGCTCTTGTAGTTCCAAGTCACTGACCTGGGAAGTACATTCATCTGGGCTCCCTCTGAGGGGAGGAGAACCTTGGCAATAGTGCACACACCCCAAGCTGGCCTGCCTGGGAACTGGCTTGGGCTGGGGAGAGCAGCTAAGCGTAGGGTGTCACTCAGGGTTCAGCATGTGGGGTCTCAGCATCAGGAACACACCTAGATTTACAAATGGTCATCAAGACCAAACTTCCTGCCGAGTCAATTCTGACTCACAGTGGCCCTACAGGACACAGAACTGTTCCTTTGGGTTCCCCAAGACTCTAAAGTCTTCCCAGGGGCAGGCAGCCTCAACTTGCTCTTTGGGAGTGGCTGGTGTTTCCCAACTGCTGACCTTGTGGTTTGTAGCCTCAAATGGAAGCCTGTCTGCCCAAAAACTGTTGGGGACCACTCAACTACTGACGCATGCCCCCACTGCAGCAGAGCCTCCTCGATTCCAGTGCCGGACACACTGACACTTTCTGCACTAGCTCTGCCCATAGAGGGTCGTCCCTCCCACACACATACCCCATGCTCTGCTCACCTCCTCTTCCATGGTTGTGGGAACTGCCAAAGACTTCCCTGAAGGAGATCTGGTGGTGAGGAGGTTGTGCAGATCAATCATTTGCGCTTTCCCTTTCTTCTTGGGAGCAGCAGGCTGATTCTTGGGGCTCTTCCCTGCGTGCAGCCCCTGTGACACAGGGCGGGGAAGCTCCAGGTTTGGGCAACAGCCTTCTCCACTCAGCTCGTCCAGCTCTTCCAGAGTCCTCGCTCGCTCTGGCCTCTGCAGTAACAGGGGCTCCTCCTCAGCTGCCTGCTCCTTCTCTGGGGCTGGGGGAGCAGCCCCTGTGGAGCTCCCTTTGGGGGGCTGGGATGACCGGGCTTCTTTGGGGAGCTTCTGGGCCAATCTTCGCACTTCCAGCAGCACCTCCTGACTGCTGGTATCTGGGGGCAGAGGGGAGTCAGAGCAGTCAGCTAAGGAAGTAGGAAGTGGCCTTTATCAACGAGCACTTACTGAGCACAGCCAACAGTCAGCACCCACTGGGTGCTGGGTACACCCTGACAGTCCACGTATGGGAGCCTCCAGAAGGTTCCTAATCATTACCTGTCACACAGCTGGCAGCAGGGTTTGGAGGTTAAAAGCATGGTGTTGGGCAGCAGATGTCCTGGGTCCTATTCCTAGCCCCGCCAGTGACTCACTGCAGAACTGGGACCGAGGCTGAGTTCCCCCGCAGAGAGCCCGCCCCAGATTCCAAATATCCAAAGGGAAGCATTTAAGCAGGTGGCCCCTGAATGTAATACCATTGTCATCTGTGTTTTTGTCAGGGGCCATCAATTATCATTCCGGGTGACTCCTTGTGACAGAGCAGAACTGCCCATAGGGTTTTCTAGGCGGCCACCGGGATGGGGCAGATGAGATGGGCAGCTCTTTCTCCCATGGAGCCCCGGGTTGTGTTCCAACTGCCAACCCTTGTGCCACCAAGGGCTCTTCATATCCTCTCTATTTGGCCACACCTTGCCTGGACTTACCTGGATGCTAGATTCTCGCCAGAGGCTGTGACCAAGCCAGACAGAGCTTCTGTCTGCAGTGTGTGTGTGTGTGTGTGTGTGTGTGTGGTGGTGGGGGGCACTCTCCTGTCACCAGCACTCTCTAGGCAGCCTGCTCTTTGTCCAGCCCCCAAGTAACCCTGCTCTTTAACTCTGACTTGAAGCTGCTCTAAGAAGCTGCTGGGGAAAAAAAAAAGAAGCTGCGTTGCAATCTTTGGACACCTATATGTTTATTTCTCCAGAATTAAGCTTTTGTCTCCAGTCTGTCGGGCCCACTACTTTCCCGTCTTTTAAGAAAGTTCTTTTTATTCCTCTAGGAAATCCAAATCCCTCTCCTGCTTGTGTCTGTGTCATACCCAACTGCGGCACATCTTGAGCTGTTGGGGTGGGGGGAGGGGGCGGCGGCACCAGGTTTCTGAAATCACCTCGAGCCACTGCTTGTGCCAACGGCTCCCAGGAAACGTCAGCTGCAAACCCTCGGTGTGAAGATTCCCCAACACAAGTCAAAAGACAGCCTTTTCAATGAAAATGGTTGCCATGTGAAAATGGACTTGCTGTCATCTAAATGCAGTATTCCTTGAAGGAAGTCTTAATAGATGTGAGCATTCATCTGGAGAGCCGGGTGATTTTGGAATATGGACCATTTTCTAAGCAGGCTTGATAAGACCCTGGCTTAGCCCCAGAGCAAGGAGCTCCTGGTGGTGCAGTGAGTTGCGCTTTAGGCCAATAACCATGAAGCCAGCAGTTCAAAACCACCAACCACTCTGTGGGAGAAAGATGAGGCTTTCTGATCCCATGAAGAGTTAGTCTCAGAGACCCATAGGGGCAGTTCTGCTCTGTCCTGCAGGGTTGCTGTGAGTCAGAATGAACTCAATGGCAGTAAATTCAGTGTGTTTTGTTTGTATCCCCAGGCTCTCTGACCCGTCTCTAGGGTGCTAGAGCTGTTAACCATTAAAGCTCTTCAAGATAAAAGATCTGTGGTGGCTACACCACCTGGAGAGGGTGACTAATGCTGCTGACTCGGTTGCTTCAGAATTGGTGATGATGGTAAGTGGTTTGTGTGGAACAGCGTTTCCCAAAGTGGGCAATACCGCCCCCCCCAGGGGTGTTGGAATGATCCAGGGGAGCTGCAAAAGCAGATCCCTACACTTTATTCTAGATTATGTGCTAAAGCACAAATCCAGGGGGTGGTGCTGAGTCTTTTTTTCCCCCACTCCTCCTCCCCACCAAAATGGAATGGTACGCCAAATCAGTTTGCGGACCTATCTTCTACATCTATTTGCCAAAACAAAACAAAAAATTCTGAGTAGCTATCTAAAAGTTCAATACCAAAATGGCAAACATTCTCTTTGAAATGAATGCTTGTCACAATTATTTAAAAAAAGCATATGAGGTTTCAAAACGTTCATGGAAATATGCCACTATCTTTTCATTAGAATTTTCCGCAAAATTTTTGATGCTGTCTCTAATTTCTAGTATGGGGCAGCTGTTTACAGCCATCTAATGTTTGTGGTTGGCCCTGCCAATTCAACAAAATAGGTACGGGGCGCTGTACTGTAAATGTATCAATTGAAGATAAAACATCTTTGTCAGTTTTTATATTAACTGAGTACTCCAACAAAGAGAGTAAAACTAACCAGTTGCATGCTTTCTTTTTTCCCCCCTCTATGCATTTGAATTGTAGCGCTGGAGAAGAATATCGAATGTACCGTGGACTGCTCAAAGGACAAACTGATCTGTTTTGGAAGAAGACGGCCAGAGTGCTGCTTAGAGGCAAGGATGGCAAGACTTCATGTAACAAACTTTAGACATGTGGCCAGGAGAGACAAGTCCCTGAAGAAGGACATCTTGCTTGGTAAAAGTGAAGGGGCAGCCAACAAAAGGACGGCCCTCAAGGACATGGATCGACACGATGGTTGCAACAGTGGACTCACATGTAAGAGCCACTGTAAGGATGGCACAGGACTGGGCAGCATTTTGTTCTCGTGTTCATACGGTTGCTATGGGTCAGAACCATTCACAAATGACCTTTTGAAGGAAAGTCTTTTTAAGCAATTGGCAAACAGTATAACACGCAAGGAAGAGCCCGACCCGGGAGTGGCAACTCTAACTTAACCATGGCAACTGTGGGGCCACTCACTCTGGGCTGCTCTTATTCCAGTGGGGACATAAACCCGAACTCTGAAGCATTCCATGCACCCCTCCCACCGTACCAACTGCACAACCCCCTGAAACCACAGCAATGTTTTCAGGTTGTTCCTGAGTGCCTCGCCATCCTCTACTCTAGGTGTTAACTGGAATTCTCCAGCTATGCCACCCCCCCACCCCCATGGCTTCTTTCTGGATCATAGGTCACTGTTATGGCAACAGTCACGGCAACTCAAGACCATTCCTTCAAGGATGGCTGTTGAAGCCCAAAAGTCGCCCCCCTCCCTGCCAGCAGAAAGCCAGCTCATAGGAATTGACTTTGTCTTCAGGGACCCAGTGTTCATGCTCGTCATGGTCCCCAGAGCCTGCATGTGGCTGTGTGTGTGGGCGGATGCCTCGCTGTCTGCTACGTAATGGTGACATCTCCTCACAACTCACCTTGTGCCTCCGGATGGTTCCTGGCCCCAGCCGCATGACCGAGCTCGGACCTTTTCCTAAGGGACCGCCTTTCCTCCAATTCTCTCAGCTCGGTTTCCTCTGTGGCTCCAGCGCTCCCTTCCCCGTCACTTTCGGAATCCTCACCAGCAGTGGGCTCAGAGGGAAGTTGTTCCGGGTCCTGCTGCTCATCGGCCTCACTGGCCGCCAGGGTGACACTTTGGAGCATCCAGGGGTTTGGCCCATTTGCCTTCATTTGGATTGCATTCACGGCATCAGGGACCAGCAGCTCCTCCTCTTCCATCCTGCCCTCCTCTTCCTCACTCTCCAAGGAGACTTGGAGTTTCTGTGTCAGCTCTTTGTTCTTGGCCAATTGTTCCTGCATGGCCTGGCGAGCCTGGAGGAAGGGGAGGCACAGCGGGAGAGAGCCTTGTCAGCCAGCGACCACGCCCCCACCTCTCTGGGCCTGGTTTTGAAAACAGTGGTCCCCTCTCAATGCACCCTGACCAAGATCCCTTTGAATACCCACAGCTTAACTCCTCTGGGATAAATAAGTCAGAGAGACACTCTCTGCCATTCGAGGAACTGACATGTGACACGAGAAGGAGCCCCTCTGCCCAGCCTTTCCTGAACTTACCTTCAATGCAGATGCCCTTTCACCTAACTAGTCCACCTAGTTCCTTTCCCTCCCTATGTAAGACACTGCTGGATGCCGAGTGAGATTCCTGGTTCTCCACGCCTCCTTCTGGCCGAGGGTCTCTTACCTCTGGGTCATACTTGGCCATGATGGCCTTTGACTTGGCCCATTTGCCACTGTTCTGGTGTTTGAGGCTCATTCGCTCCTGGAGAGAAATGACAGTGTGAGATTGCTGTTGGCCGCCTAGGACAGAAGCCTTCCAGAAGCAGGGGCCAGAGGACATCTCACCATCATCCGGGCCCTTTCCACTTTTTCCAGTTCTTCTAGTGCCGCACTGGGATTGGCCTGTCGAAGGTTCTCGAAGTTAGTTAGAGCTTTTTTGGCTTTACCTTTCCTGATGACCTTGTGATACCTAGAAGACAGAAGAGTGAAGTTAGATTGAGCAGACGCTCACACTCCACACCCCAGTGTGCCCATCCCGCCCAGGGGGCTTTCCCTTTTTGGGGGCTGGACCCCTCAGAGACCACGGGGCTATCTGAGGCCCTAAGGGAGGAAGGGAACGAGTGGGTTCCAAGGAGACGGCATGGCTTGGCACTGAGGAAGCCCACTGCAAGGCCCTGGAAGGGAGTGAGCCACTCAACAGTCCTTAGCAAAATCAACAATGCGGGTCAGAGGCAAAGGACAGCAACAGGGCATGAGTGGAGCAGGCAAAACTAGGAGGCTGGTCTGGAAGGGAAGAACGGGTGCTGCCCTCCAATTTGGGATTGCTTTGCCATGGCCCCAGTTACCACACTACATCATAGACTTTCCTAAAGACGCGTGCCTTAGTCCCATCACTTCCTCTTGGGGAACTCAAGGCCAGGCCCCAGGGGCCATCTTACTTTTTGCTTTTGATTTTCTTCTCTCTTCGAGCCTTGGCCTCATAGTAGGACTGTAGGGCCCGGGCCCTCTGCAGCTCGGCTCGGCGCATCTTAGCCTATAACAAATGACATTTACCGTGACCCCTGGGCTTGAAGAATCGATCGAGCCACTTGAATTACAGTGCTGGCATAGAATAGTTAAAGTGCCATGGTCTGTCAAAAGGACACACTGAATTGTCTGGAAGAAGGGTGCTCCTTTGAAGCAAGGATGGCAAGACTTGGGCTTACATACTTTGGCGATGTTGTGAGAGAAGGACATCGTGCTTTGTAGAGGGGCGGTGAAAGGGAGGAAGGCTTCAACGAGTTGGACTGACACAGTGGCTGCATCAATGGCTCAAGCATAGGAACAAGTGTGAAGGCACAGGCCCGAGCAGTGTTTTGTTCTGTGATACAGAACTATGGGTTGGAATCAACTTGACAGTATCTAACAACAAGCACAACCACAACTACCTGAGGGCAGCTGCTTGGCGCATCAGAGGGCCCCTTCCACATACCTCTTCCAGGCTCATGGCTTTGAGAGAGGCCTTTTCCGCTGGTGTCAGTAAAGGGTCCGTCACTGGCTGCTTGTTCTTGTGGAGGACATTGAGAATCTCCTGCTCCAGGGGAGTCCTTGCCTTCCGGAGGGGACAGCATGCTCATTCTTACCTTGAACTCTTTTAACTCCTACCCCACCCCACCCTCAACCGTCATTTTGACAACACTCAACTGCATCAGATTCATAGACGGAGCAGAAGGGGTGCCGCCACACAGTTCTAGCCTTGCTGTGCAGCTGGGCACAGAGAGCCTTATTTGGACTTAAAGACAATAGCAGGGGGCCTGGGGTATTACCTCTGTTATCACCAAGGGGATGACTCTTGTGTCTAGATGATCAATTGTGCAAACCAGAATTCCCTTCTCTTAAGGAACTAATAATCAGAGGCCCCTTTGGAAATGCTGGAAGAACAGAAGTCACAATAATACTGGACTGTCCGAGTTTTGAAGGCCACAAAACAGTCCCTGCACTGTAAAGCCTATTTGGAGTGGATGACCATTACCTTAGAGTTACTCTCAGCTTTGTATCATGAGGTTCCTTTTAGGAATATTTCTGGAAGAAGGGGGAAGTGGATGCCCAGGAAGCAGCCCTGTAGAAGAGCTCATCGGGAATCCCTTAAGGTTTTTTTGTTTAAACCATAGGCATAAGCTACAAACCATGTTATGTGCATGTTCTTGGAATCGTTACTTATGAGAAGAAATGAGAAAGGCCTGACGTGTTTCAGCATCTAACTCACTGCCGTCGAGCTGATGCTGACTCATAGCGACCCTATAGGACAGAACAGACCTGCCCCTGTGGGTTTCCAAGACTGCAACTCTACAGGAAGAGAAAGCCTCATTCGTCTTTCTCCCACAGTATAGCTGGGGGTTTCGAACTGTTGACCTTCTGGTTAGCAGGCCAATGCCTAACCACTACACTGCCAAGGCTCCTGTGTTTTACCATAGTCCATGTTTTAATCTCCCAAGCTCAAAAGGGCTGAACTAAAATAACCCAAACTCACTGCCTCGGAGATAATTCGGACTCATAGCAACCTCCATAGAGCGGAGTAGAATGGCCCCTGTGGGTTCCCAAGGCGGTACAGCTTCACAGCAGCAGAAAGCCTCATCTAACCTGTGTTAGCAGCCCAACCCTACACCACCGGGGCACCTCCAACAGAAGGAACAAATGGGATGAGTTGTCATCGCCTTGTTTCAGATGTCAACGAGAGACCCCTCGTGCTACTGATCGAAGTTGTGAGTACGATTCAAATCACCATGCCAATTAGGCCACAAAGATGGCCCTGGGGCATAATCTCACTTACACCCCCACCCCCACTATGGCTTTCTTCACTTGTCAGATATATCATGGTCAGTATTAAACCTCACAAAGATTGGGGTCAAAGCATACACACGCATCACGTGGTACACGAGGCTATTGATGTCACCGGAAACCTGTTCTATCGAAGGTGCAGGGCCTCCCCGTTTACTATCTGCAGCAGTGATCAATCATAGGCTCCGAGGTGAGTTACAGGACAGTGTCCCAATCTCCCTTCAATCCCATTCAATGCAAAAAACCCTTATTGATTGCAGCTACATCCTAGGTGCTGGCGCTGGCTGCTTGCTGGGAAGGCTTGCTTGATGAAGACCGCTCCTGCCTTCAAAGAGCTGAAAGCTACCTCACTAACAAAACAACAGGTTAGATGCCATTTGATGGGGTGAGCAGAGGAAGGAATAGTCCGTTTTGACGAGAAGTGGGGTTTGAGAAGGGCCTGTAGGTTTGCCTGGAAGCCTCGGTATGCCCAGACACGAAATGTTCCAAACAGAGTGCTATATAATCTTGGAAGTATGAGGTGGCTTCAAAAGTAGGTGGGAAATGTCCATTCTTTGTTCTGTCCATTTTTTCATTTTGAAGCGGCCTTATATACGGGAGCGAGCGGTGTGTCCGGGCCCATGTAACCACGACGCCAGGCGCATTCATTTCCATCTTGAAGTGGGGCTCCTTGGAAGGATTTTGGGCAGAGCAAGTCCCACCAGTTTTGTATATTGGAAAGAAAAGTCTGGGGATGTACAGATGTAAGGCTTAGGGCTGTAAGAAGTATGGGGAAAGGAGGGACCTGAGAGCTAGTTGAACAGATGGGACAGGACCCAGCTATGGTCTGGGGAGGGGTGGCAGTTAAAGGACTGAGGGAGGAATTGAGGCAGCGAGCTGGGCTGGGAATGGAGTTGGAGAAGGCAGGTGGGGATGCAGGGTTTGGCGGCCGGGGGAAGGAGAACCAGACAGTCAGTTTGGGATACAATACGTTTTTATGTCCAGGGGAGACCCTGTTCTTCAGTGGATCGTGGCCCTGGGTGGAGGTGGATGTGGGGTTGAGAGGGATCTGTAGCATATACTGGGGATAGCCATGACTCATCCATGGAGTTTACTGAGCCGAAATTAAGAGAACTAAGAAAGAGAAGCCAGACAGATTGGAGTGGAGAGGGGACCTAGGAGCACTCCATAGAAGGAAAGGGAGGATTTTTGAAGAACAGGCTGGAGACAAGGACGTGGCCTGGTTGACCCTCTTGAGAGTGGTTTCTGTCAGCGCTAGAAAGTTTGCCACCTTAGGAGGTGGCGAGTGGGGGGAGCAGTAGGGGCAGAGACTAGCTTTGCCCTAAGCCTGCTCCTCAGAATGCCATTCTAGGAATTTACCTGATTCACAAGGGTTTTGAAAATGTCTAAAATGGTATGTTAATTACATTTATTTACTTTTATGTAAAACCAGCATATACACCTGGGTTTCTTTACTGTCTTTGTACAGCTAGAGGAACCCTGGTAGCATAGTAGTTACACATTGGGCTGTGAACCATAAGATCAGCAGTTTGAAACCACCAACTCTTTCTTGGGAGAAAGACAGGGCTTTCTACTCTTGTAAGAACTGTCTTGGAAACTCACAGGGCAGTTCTAACCAGTCCTATTGGGACACACTATGAGTCAGAATCAACTCAATGGCTGTGAGTATGTGGTTGAACTTGGTTACAAAAAGGGCAGGGAACTTGTTTTTATTTTTTATTTTTTAATATGCTAAGTATGGACTGTGAGTCACCAAGCTTGGGACGGAACAGGTAACATGCAGTCTTTTCTAGCGATAGAAACACCCCTCCCTGCCCCACTGTGAGGCCATGCTGATGGAGTGAGGTTTGGGGAGCACTTTGGGAGGTGCTGGTACAGATAACAATGTCTGCCTGTGTGGGGGAAGAAAGAGGGGTTCTGCCTTTATCGTTTCTTGTAACACTTTGCAAATGCACTGTTCTTTCATTCTTCTCAGCTCGAATGACAATTTTTGGACGAAAAGGAAGGCGCTCTGGTGGAGCAGTGATTAAAGCGCATGGCCGCTAAGGCAAAGGGCAGGGGTTGAAACCCACCAGCTGCTCTATGGGAGAAGGATGTTACCCACAGCCTTGGAAGCCCTGCGGGCACTTCTCCTTTGTCCTGCAAGGGCGCTCAGAATCAGGACAAACTCGAAGCCAGCAAGTTGGGTTTGTACCAAAATGGTGTGGCTAACTCCTGATTCTCCAACTCCAGAAACCCAGCACACACTTAACCTTGGTATGTTGTAAGGAAAGAGTGGGGAGTTGCTAGTTAGAAAGTATCTCTAGGAATCTCCTTATTCCTCTGTGACCCTGGGGCATGCCTTCTGAAAGGGAAATCCTTGAGAAAGTGACCAGCCCGATGTCTTCAACACTTAGCGCTTGGGCCCCATTTGGCTTCCCTTTCCTGGAGAGCCACCATAGGGCTGTCCTGACTGGGCGCTCCCTTGTCACTGAAGAACCAGATCGACCAAACAACTCAGGAGTGAGACATGCTTATGTATTTCTTTTGGTTTTAATAAGCCCCCCCACCTCTTCCCCATTAGGAAATATACCAGATACTCGTGTTATACTACCCATTATAAATACAGAGAGAGAGATATTTCAATAGAGAAAATGGGAAGTTTAACAAAAATTTCCCCTATCTTTTCTTTTGTATTACTTCTTAATTTCACCCTGCCTCCTCTAATTGCCTCATATGCATGTGAAAGTTGGATACTGATTAAGGAAGACTAAAGAAAAATCAATGTTTTGGAATGGTGGTGCTGGCGATGAGTACTGAAAGAACCATGGTCTGCTAAAAGGGCAAACCAATCTGTCTGGGCAGTGTTTCTTAGAGGCAAGGACGGTGAGACTTCCTGTTGTCAGGAGAGACCAGTCCCTAGAAAAGGACATGCTGCTTGGTAAAGTGGATGGCCAGAGAAGGAAAGGATTGACACAGTGGCTGTAACCATGGGCTCAGACATAGGAACAATTATGAGGATGGTGTAGGGCCTGGCACTGTTATGCATAGAGTCACTATAAGTCAGAACCGAGTAGGTGTGCCACTTGACAACAATAATGATAAAACAAATTCTCTCTTTCATCCTACAGCCATACTTTATGATACCGGATCTGTATCTTAAGACGGAGAGGGACGTGGCCTAGAAAAACCGCTGGTGACTTCAACATCAGCACCATGAGCCCAGTGCATGCTGGTAAGAAGTGAGAAACTGCTAACTTTCTAGTGATGGTGGCCAACAGGGTTTCTTTCGATCAGCATTTCCCTCCCCGGAGCTTTTGGAAAGTCCAAAGGAGAAGCCCAAAGGACCCCACTGTCCACGGCTTGGGGGCTGCTGATGGATTCATTTTTCAATTGAAGAGAGGACATCCCATTACCAACAACACAGTGGTGAGCAGGCAAAGAAAGACGGGCTCTTCTAAAGCACCTGTTTCAGGCATTGGGGTTTCAACCTGAGAACGTTGGAGACTTTAGGGATTATCGCTATGGGTTGGAACTGACTTGATGGCACCTAAAAACAACGATAACAGAGGCTTGCCAGCTCTTAATTGTGCTAAGCCAGCTCAATAAGAGGAGCTCTGGTGATAATAGTGGTTATATACTGGGTTGCTAACTGCAAGGTCAGCAGTTTGAAACCACTTCACTATGGGTCAGGATTGACTCATGACACCTA